GCAACCGGTCTCCTTTTCACCTAGTCTTTGAGATGTTTGGATTTTTGGTAGACAGTCCGCTGTAGCTCGCGCCACAATTACTCCACATTCCACTCCCAACTTCTCATCCAATTCTGGTCTATCGGCCGCCCGACAACCCGCCGAAAAGTTGCCGGGGCCGCGCTCGCACTATGGTCTAGCAAGCAGACGGCTTCAGCACACCCGAAAAACCCTCGGCTCTCGCCCGCCTTTGTCCGACAGCAGCACGCTCCGCCGGAGTTAGGTCTCTCTCTGCTCTGTCCCCCAGAGCGCCTTCTGGGTAGGCAACACGCGCACAGCAGTGCCGCTCGGCTGCCTACCCGTTAGGCGCTCGCATTCCTGCGCGCAACACAGCCGCTCATCAGGGATCTTTGGAGACCACAGGTTTTAAAGAGACGGGGGAGGACCCTACGTTGCACGCAATGTGAATAGAGAGGCAACTCATCAACTCATCTGTTTCAGGTGCACCTGTACTTCTCGTGCCTGCCCGAGGAGCGCATCCCCTACGCCGGCTCGGCCGGTGAGCGCTACCGGGTGCGCCAGCTGCTGCAGCAGCTCCCGCCGCACGACAACGAGGTGCGCTACTGCCGCGCGCTCTCGGACGAGGAGCGCAAGGAGCTGCGCCTCTTCTCGGCCCAGCGCAAGCGGGACGCGCTGGGCCGGGGCATGGTGCGCCAGCTCACCGCGCCCCTACCCTGCGAAGCGGTGAGTAAATAACGGACACGTTGGATGGTTATAGAATGGTTGAAAACCGGAAGCGCGAAGAAAGATTCCACGGCTGAACAGATTTTCAAATACCAGGTGGCTTACTCACGCCACGCAATTGAGTAGTTATACTGCACCGCATGTAGGAGTGCGGTTGGGTTGCCTACTCGCACCCAGCCATAAGGAGCCGTGCGTCGCCCCCGAACAAGAATAACGGATCTGAAAACCCCACGAGAGAAATAACCTGCAAATAATCTGCAAACCACGAAATTTTGGGTAAACTTATAAGCTCTTAACAGCGCATATAAACATTGATTTCAGTAACAATATGCACGTGTATGGACACTACAGTGTAGTGGAACGCAACTTAGACCCCTCACCCTCTTTAGATTTTTGCGCGACTTCAACAATATTCGGTGTAGGCAGCCCCATAGGAGGCTCTGCCTCGGACCTGGCAAACGAGGTCAACCCCTGAGGACTCGCCTAGCCGCGGTCCGACGTCCAGGTACGCGGGCGATCAATACCATAGCGGGGCTAGCAGGGGCAGCGGGGGTGCGTTGTCCTAACGTGTCCATGCGTGCGCTACGCTCTGTCACCCACACCGCAGCCTAATAAACTAGCGTTCTTTACTGACGACACCCCCCTTGACTTCTACCTTTCCGCCCGCCCGCGGCACCCCGCGCCCCGGCCCACAGTGGGCTCAACCACGAAAAAGCGGCCAAAATTAATATAAGCGGAAACCAATAACTTAAATAAACTCCACCTTCGTTCTAAGGGGTTTTCGTGTGCGCTGAATCTATTTCTGCAATGAGTTTTGACGTGGCAGGGGCGGAACCAGGCCAAAAAAGGGGGGTAGATATTAGTTTTTGTCTGATTCCACTTAAATTTGGTACATGGGGGTT